GGGGAAAGTCAAACTAAAATCCACCAAGGTTGTTAGACCCACCCTGTGTTGTTAGTAAAAGTTTTTTACTTGATGACCATAATGTGTAATAAAAATGGCTAAATGAAAATTTTGAAATAATTTTAACCTATCATAGATTATTTAGCTGGAGTATAGCGATCTCTTGATGATGATATCCTGTTTTGCAAAAGGTTCATTGTAATCTACTGGGAATTTATGACCTATTATAGTTTATTTAATATGATCATAGTTATCATTCAATGATCGTAACCTGTTATGAAGAGGTCAAATTTCATCTTTATGAAACCAATAAAACATAGAATGAGATGCATGAGTCCGGGTGTAAGTCGATATGAAATGTTGATCTTGCGAAAATATGGTTACAACCATGTTCAAGAATAATTTTTGATAACTTTTTTATTGTTACCTTTTTATTTTTTTCCCATTGGAGGTTTTTTTCACACTATCCTAGTAGTCTTTTTTGTATAATTTTGCCCATTTATGGAATATTAAGGAAGCTGAGTAGCCCATATATCGAATATTAAGGAGTTAGTTTCCTAATCAAGTTGAGGAGGAATTTTTGTACAATGAGGGGGGTGTTGAGAGAGTGTTTTCTAGCTAGACATTTATGTTCAGTGGTTTATTTTGTGGTCATGTTTAAGAGGTTAACATGAGTATCCACTAAATGTTGTAGTGAAAATTGCCTCCTTGCTTAGAATTATTTCTCATAGACTTCATGTCAGATGAAATGTCGGAAGACTACCTGACTATACTTGTGTTGAGGATGTTGACGTGAATCACTTTTGGAGATAATAATAAAGGTTTCCCCCATCCTCGATTTAGTTCTCATATAACTTGATATCTGAATAAAATGTAGGAAAATTGATCAACTATAATCATGCCAGAGACGTTCACATGAGTGGCTTTCTGAAGTTTCCATGAAGGTTGCCCCTCCCCCTTCCCCGCGTCAAAGAATCCTTTAGAAATAACCTTTCGTGACTTTCTCTCACTTGGATGAATCTTAGAGATGTGAGGGGATTCTTTGATAATCCTTCAATGTGTGATGAGTTGCTTCACAAGAATATTAGCAAGTTCATCAAATGTATCAATGACTCCTCTAGGAGTTAATAAAATGGAGTGTGCACTTGACATTTAAAAGTACTAGAATAAAACTCAATAAAGGATTGTGTTAGAAGCTCATTGAATGTGCAAAATGATTCTTAACTGATAAATATGATTATATTAGTCAAATGTCCCTTCATAAGAATAAAAAATTGGAATGTTAAAGTGTCATTATAATGGGGTGTTGAAGGAAGATCTCGACCAATAAAAAATTCACTTGAGAACAATGTCAAGCAGAGAAATGACTTCTTTTCCTTTGAAGGGACTCTTCTTGCACTAGATGTTATAATGTTTCACGGATTATGCGAGGTTGAGCTAAATTCTCGATTGTGTTGGAGGTTTGTGGCTAGGCTTTGTTACTCATGATGGATGTATAGAGCTAACATTGTTAGCTTCTTGAGGAGGAAATTTTGAGAGTAAAAGGAGTGCTAAATGTGTACCTCTATTCAATGGATTTTAAGGTGGTTGCGTCTCTTTAGTATGCACAACTATCAGTTGTGAAGCATCATGTAAAAGTCTGAAGATCTTGTTTCAAGTCTCCTCCATTCTTCGAACACGATTTTTAAAAGGTACAAAGGAGGTTCATTTACTAATTGGCTGATGTATATCATTGAAAAAAGAAGCGAAGGCTTAACATCCTATGATTTGAGTATGTGCCCTGAAAAATGTGAGTATTAGAGTGAAAAACTCATGTATTAAATTTGTTATCTATTAAAGAAGTTTAGACTAGTAATCTATGGTTGTAAGAGGAGTAGTCAGCCATAGAGGTTGTAGATGGAAATTATGATAGTAGAAGTTGGCCATAAAGTTTATAGTTAAATACTACAAGAACTATAACTGACTATAAAAGCTATGTCTTTTTCTCTAATAATATTAGTTGTCCATAGAGGCCGTTCTCGAAAGTTGTGACTGTAGTAATTAGCGACAGAGATTGTAGTTGGTGGTTGTAAGAGTAGTTGTTGGCTACAAATTCTATATTTAGAAACACAACAATAGTAATTAGCCATACAGGTTGTAATTGGTGGTCAATAATGACAATTGGCCATAGATTAGCTAGAAACAGTGACAATATAATTAGTTACTGAGATTGTAGTTGGTTGATGCAATAGTGATAGTTGGCCACAAAGGTGATTGTTAGAAACTATGACAGTAGTAATTAGTCGCAAAGGCTATAGTTGGTGGATGCAATAACGATAGTTGGCTACAGAGGTTGTAGTTGGAGGGAGTAATAAAAGTTGTTGGCCACATAGATCGTAGTTGGAAGTTGTAATAAAAGTAGTTGGCCATGAACTCTATACTCAGTGGTCTTAATAATGCAGTTGGCCAAAAATGCCATAGTTGGGAACTACAATAGTATTGGTTTTATTGGTCTCCCATGATCATAGATGATTTGAGGGCCTTATTGAACTCATAATTGATGAATCTTGGGCTATTTGAATTTCTCTATTTGCGACGCTCGATTTAACTATAAATATTTCAAATTTGGAGTTCATTTGACAATTAACTTGACGAACAAAACCCTCTAAATAAGTTTTAATTGCTTGATATTGGTTTTATTGGACTCAACTTGAACCAATTTTGGCATCATTCGGTTCGACTTTTCGAGACGACCAGTTTGACCTTCTGCCTGTTAAAATCGGGGGCTAGATGATCCTGAATTTGAATAAAAAATATCTTTTATTTAAAAATACATTGACATTCGAGTTGGATGACAAATTTCTTGATTACACATCAAGGTACAACATGTACTGCACCTATCAATACGCACATAAACATAATATTATGAAAAGAGAAAACATAATATTATGAAAAGAGAAACCCTGATGAGAAAGCCAAAACATAGAGTTCAATTTATCTATCAAAGCCTTTTAAAACAAGAAAAATATAGATATATAGATATATTAAAAAACACACGATAGTCATTTAATGACTCTATTCTAGTGAGAAGTAGCAAGCAACAAGATGCCCTGCAACAAACCCTTTTTCCATGTTTATTTTGTGGTCATG